AATCAGGCTTTATTGAAGAAGTGACAGATGATTCCAGTTTTTTAGGTGGTGGTGGCAACTGGATGGACAATAGCACATCAACACATTTTACAGAGTTCTGGCGCAATTTGGACCACACGATGATTATACAAGATTTTAGACCATTTCTAAGTAGCAATGCACTGGACCAAGATAATAGAGCCAATGAGAGAGGTCACCAAACTCACACTGACTTCTGGGGACCAAGTCGACCTCCACGGTTGCCAATGACTCGGAGATACAGAGCACAAGGAAGCACTCGTCCTGATAGATCCCCAGCAATTGAAGGGTGAGTGCACAGTTGTTTTAAGTTCTTTTTAAGGGCAGTTGCAATGAAAGACATATTGCCTTAATCTAATCTTTATCAGGGTCTCATACTTACTACCTTTGTGGACAAGATGGAGGTATATAGACAGAGTGAAAATGAAGCTAAATTGAATGTCTGTAGTCAACTCATACCATGAAACAAATGATGAATAGCTAAAGGGTAATAAAACTAATGATATAGGTCTCTGGTTAACATTTTTATTAATGTCTCAGATTAATATAGGTTTATCAAAAATTCAGAAACAAATGAAAGGGATATCAATATATTGGATGACATTAGGATTCAAAAAGACCTCAGCAGATTGGAGCAGTGGACTTGATATGAAATTTAATAGGAATAAGCATAGAGTCTTGTGACTGCCAAAAACAGTCATGCAACAAATGTCTATTGAGTCTTTCATGCTACAGCATTTGTACTAGACACTGGGGATACATGTGAGTCACACCATTGCGTGGTGGCTCCTTATCTCTTGGATCCCATTTACTAGGGACAATAAACAATTTTAAAAAATATTTTCCTTATGCATAGGATTGTGTTCGTACTTTATCTGCTTATCTCATTTAACCCATATGAATTAGTAGCTGCTATTGTTATTCTCATTTTACGTAATAACGAGACTCACAGAAATGAAAACGGGATCAGTGGTAGATCCAGGACTTGAACCCAGGGATATCTGAATCTAGAACTGTACTATCTGATACAACAGCCACTAGCCACATGTGGTTATATCAGTTTACATTAAAAGTTAACAACTCGCC